AGATTCATAACCAGAGACCTCAAAAATCAGCAAAAGTACGTGCAACTTGCAAAAACATTGAGTCTTGCAACATTTGTTTAAATAAATTGTTTAAATAAATCTGAATTCACAAATCTAACATCAAACTCGTAATCAGTGACCCCTAAAACCATGGAAATGAGGTGCAACTTGCAAAAATTCTCAATTTTCAGATATTTGTTTAACCAAGTGGCTTAAATAAACCACATTTTGTAAATCTGATATCAGATTCATAACTAGCGACCTCAAAATTCAGCAAAAGTATGTACAACTTGCAAAAACATTGAGTCTTGCAACATTTGTTTAAATAAATTGTTTAAATAAATCTAAATTCACAAATCTGACATCAAACTCGTAATCAGTGACCCCTAAAACCATGGAAATAAGGTGCAACTTGCAAAAATATTCAATTGTGCAAAAATTTGTTTAAACAAATTGCTTGAATAAAATAAGTTTTGAAAATCTGATATCCGATACAATCAGCGGAATCAAAAACCATGAAATCTTTCATTTGTTATTGAAATTCTGTAGATAGATGATGTAGAATATTACGTAACTTGAAATGTATGATTGTATGCTGAAGCTGAGATAGGTGAAAGCTGAGATAACTGATTTTGTGACATGCTAATCCTTCTGTGTTAGAGATCACGTTTGAGTGGCGGGCTAACGGTTGAATTTCCTGTAAATGCTATTATCTTATTTTCTTCTACTTTATTTATTATAAGAATATTTATCATAAGAACATTTTTTATCCTCTTTGTTATTTATTATAAGAAAAATGAGTTCCAGAAGCCCTTGTGCAAGAAAAATTGATACATTTTGTTATTATTAATGATTCAATCAAAATTCTATATTTCAAATGTTATAAGGTGTTCCGATCGACAATTTAGATAAGACATGGGTACCATCTTCAATTTGTAATTCTTGCAGACTTGCTATGTTGAAGTGGGATGAATTATAATAGCAGCAATATGACTGTTATGGAACCGACCATATGGCGTGAGCCCAAGGACCATGAAACTGATTATTACTTCTGCTTATGTAATACAACGGGTTTCAATAAACAAAATTCACATAAAATCATCTACCCTGCGGTAGCGAGTGTAACACCAGCCAAAGTAGGAAAAGTAAGTAAACCCGGAAAAGAAGTTGGTTCGGCAAAAGTTGAACCGATGGATATTGATACAACTGAAGATGTCTCTTTTGAAGATAGTTCTGATGACGAGAGTCCTAAGCTTATTGACCAAAGTTCGTTAGATGATTTTATTCGAGACCTCAATCTTCCAAAGGATAAAGCTGAACTCTGTGCTTCAAGACTCCAAGAAAGGAAGCTATTATTACCTGGAAAAAAAGTGTCAATTTACAGAAACCGAGAAGAGGCGTTCATAAAGTACTTTACAATGGAGGGTGTGATGGTGTACTATAATAACATCGAAGAATTGGTTAACTTATATATCCAAGATTTGTACAAGCCAGAAAACTGGCGTCTCTTCATTGATTCTTCCACACAAAGTCTGAAAGCTATGTTACTACACAACGGAAATGAGTATGCGGCACTTCCTGTAGGTCACTCAACTGCACTAAAAGAATCATACAATAGTTTTCAATTTCTACTGGAAAAAATAAATTACAAGACACACAATTGGCTTGTTTGTGGTGACTTTAAGATGATAAATCTTATAGTTGGCTTGCAGTTGGAAAATACCAAATGTCCGTGTTTCCTCTGCCTTTGGGACAGCCGTGCAAGAGATAAGCATTGAATAACAAAAAAATGGCCCACAAGATCAGAATGGAAAATAGGTTCTCATAATGTCGCCTACGTAGGTCTTGTTGATAGAGAGAGAGTATTACTGCCACCACTTCACATCAAATTAGGTTTAATGAAACAGTTTGTGAAAACTTCGAATAAAGAAGGTAAATGTTTCAATCATTTGAAAGCCACATTTCCGAAATTGAATGATGCAAAAATTAAGGAAAGCATTTTCGTTCGGCTTGATATACGAAAACTCATGAAAGATGATACATTTATCGAAACAATGTCTCTCGTTGAAAAGAATGCTTGGTTGAGCTTCAAAGATGTTACAGAAAAATTTTTAGGCAATAATCGAGACCCGCAGTTTGAAACTATTGTGTCCAACATGTTACAGAAGTTTCTGAAAAATGGGTTGTCTAATGAGCCTTAAAATACACTTTCTCCATTCTCATTTGGACTATTTCCCAGAAAATCTTGGAGCATATAGTGAGGAGATGGGTGAACGATTTCACCAAGACTTTAAACAAAAGGAACAACACTACCAAGGAAGGTGGGACGACAAAATGATGGCCGACTACTGCTGGTCATTGAAAAGGGATGATAATAACCCTACTAGTCAGAAACGTAAATCTCTTCAACGATCTTTTGAAATGAAGCGCCAACGTTTTCACCAAAAGAAAGCATAACATCACAGAATTGGTAGTTATAGGTTTAAGAATATACATTCTAAAGATTGTCAGCTTCTTAGTGTAACCTCTCTAACTACATTGGAGCTTAGGTTGAAATGCTATGGATTACAGTCCACTTAAATTAATTTGTCCTGTGCTTGACCCTCACTGCATTTAGTTTAACCTGTTGTGAGTTTAGCGCTCGCAGATCATAGCGAACGTAAGTTTACCTGTAGTGGTCTAGAGCTCGAAGGTTACTGCGCATATAGGTTATACTGTCGTGGATTCTAGTTTGCAAGTTATATCGTACTCAATATACCTGTTGCGGATTATAGCGCGCTTAAATTAACCTGTAGCAGGTTATAGCGAATTTAGGTTAACTTGCCGTGATTTTGAACTTGCAGGTTATAGCGCACTTGAGTCAACCAGCCGCGAATTATAACGCACTTAGCTTAACCTCTCGCGAGTCACAGAGCGTTTAGGTTAACTTGTCGTGGTTTTAAGCTGAGTGTAGGTTATAGCGCACTTAGGCAATCCTGTCATTGTTTTGAGCTTGCAGGTTATAGCGCACTTAAGTTAATCTGTCGCTGGTTCTAGAGTTATAGGATTTTCAGTGCATTTAGGTCATAACCATCTGCCTTAGCCTGCCCTAAATTTCTAGCTGCCATTTTAGAATGCATCTAATAAATTCAGCTAGATTCGCCGTAAATTAGTACAATGGTAGACCTTTATATGCCAGTGTAAGTTTTTCCTACTACTGAAGATTGCAAAAAAAATCAAGATTTTTCATACTCCAGTATAAATCATATGATGAATGGCACATTTCAATTGACGGTATCTCTGCTGGAAAAAGACATAAAAAAATCGGTAATGCATTTTGTCGGCCAAGAGTTGCTCTTTCAGATGCCGTTGTCAGTTTTGCATGAAAAAATTTATTCACAATGTTATAAGGTACCGAATATAGCCAAAAAAACGTGATTTTCGCACTTTTAGGTTAGGATATCTCAAAATCCTGACGTGCTGGCGCAATTCTGAGCTCGGATACGGATTCAGCGCATCAAAATCCTTCAGGTATACTATGTCTGGTCTCTGGTTCTGAAACTTTGTTGACCTGTGTAATTTAAAAATGACTAAATAAAAATGTAAAATTTTATACAGTTTCATTCAATAACAATGTTTTCAAATTTTGTTTCAATAACTAAAAATCACGTGGCAGAATAGATAAACGTTAGATATGTATTTATAGATTGAATAATCCGTGAACAAGAATAATCTATAAAAAATCCACGAAAGACGATTACGAAATTCAGTAGAAAAAAGCGAAGAAAAAGATGAATCCTACAACTGATGATGTGAAGTCGATCGGACAATTTGAAAAAAGAAAATAGCTCACCAAAAAATAAAAAAGGAGAGTCAGAGAGAGTCAATCTAAAACTTTTTAGAACGTGTTGTGAAGAGAAAAAAGACAAAAATAATCACGCAGTTCCTACTAGTATTACTACCGTTCTCATTGTCTCGTATGATGGGTCCCTGGTAAAGTGATCCCATCTTTCCTACCTGGACCTATTAGAATTCACGTTCATATGCACCACATTCGTAATTGTCATTTTTCACTCGCTTGATGTATGATCATCGAAGAAATATGCTGCATTTATATGACTGATATTAGCAAGGGAGAGACTCGAATATGCCCACTTGCTATGTCAACTCCGGATATGCGAGTGCAGTATGGCGGGTGGATGGATATCCGCTTTCGTTTTTTGATGCATGTTATAGAATATGTTTATTTTGTACGTAGGATATGACTTTCATGTTTAGATAGAGATGCAAAAACAAATGATGCGAATCTTTATATTTGGAAAGTTATGACAATCCATGTGCAAATCGATGGTATATAGAACTTATTTCAAGTATTTACTGAAACGGACATTTTTCAAAAATAGCAAACACGAGATTAACAAAATTTTCTTTCTCGGAAATTAACCAGTTAAATATGATAATAAACCTTACAATTGAATAATTACTTATTCATATATATAAGAATATTGCGACCTTTCTACAAGAGCATAGTTACGGCTAGTATCCATGCAGCTGTAAAACGAAAGGATTTTAGGCGGTAATCCACTTCGGACAATTTGACACATGTACGATATTATACCTTGTAACCCCTTTAAAAAAAAATAAAAAATACACACATATGTGAGTATTTGAGCGTGAGTATATTTTTATGTGTGTATACTTACATTAGCGTCACTATAGTACTATATACGCTTTTGCGTAATTGGAATTCTTGCAACTCTTAAACAAGTATTAGGAATAATTGTGACCTAATATGAAAAAAATCTAAGAGCGCAACGATCATTTGCTGTGATGGAAGTATGCAAAATTTAGCAGTAGTACACAAAACTTTTGAATAGCTTTTGTATAGTCCAGTCTCATAATTACTACATATTACGGGATTAAAATCACTACGGCTTAAAATAATTATCTTGTGATATTATAAATGATTTATTATTTTGTTTTTTATAAGTAAATAGGTTTTGATTGATACATATAATGTACTACTGACGAATTGAGCGACCAGTATAGGCTGGTATGGGCATCACGTTATAATACTTGCTTGAGCTTTTCATGGTGATATTGTCTGTCAAGTTGTTCTGAATGGATGCCGAATTGGAGAAACTTTGTAATCGACTTGCTAAATAGAAAATAATTAAGACTGAGAAAAAAACTAAGACTCCAAGAACGACTGTTATGTACAAAAAGTTGCTACAGTTTTTTTCAAGATTGCTCCTTACATGCTCGTACGAATCTGTATCAATGATTGATTATTTTAGTGAAATAAGTACAGCAATTAAAACTAAATTGAGAGATATAAAACCACTCACAATCTTGCATGATTACACTGTATTCGATATTATCCTTGAAATTTGTTGTAGGGGTTGATTCATTGTATAGTTTAATCAATTGACTTGATTTTTGGCCATATTTATCAACATACTGTTTAATTTCTCTTATCGTCCTTTTCCGTTTCCCGTGACCTGCAGGTTCAAATAGATCAAGGCAAAAATCCTGCAATGAAATTATGAATATTTACTTTGAAGTCGAAAAAAATAAGAATGTATAAACTAAAAATTTTCATTCATAATGTATCCTTCGTTTCTTGAATATAATGTCTGAGTATTCCCCTTTAATTTAAAAATTGATGGTTTGAGTTTAAAAGTATAATTTCGTTAAAAACTTCAAGTAATGAAATATTCATTGAAAATTTATCAAGATAGATTAAAAGTTAATATTGATGTATTTATAAAATAAATATTTTTTAAAGTGTACAGTTCTAAATCAGCGCTTGATTAGTTGAAAAAAAGCCGATGAAAAAAATAATATAACACAAAGGCATCGTGGTTACTTGATTCATTGGAAAGCTGAAGTATAAGCAACGATTATAGACACTTATAGAAGAATAGTTTATAGAGGACCTCATTTAAGGTCTGGTATTTAAGTACCTCTGTACTGTATACCAGCTATGGAGTAGTGCAACTGTCACATATGATACGGTGCTATAGCACACTGTTAATAAGCATGGATGAAACTATACATTTTAGACTGGTCTATAAAAATATATATTAGCTGTATATTGGTGAACGAACTGATCGTGAGTATTTGAGCTTTGATCAATACTTTTTTTAGCTTTTTACACTTTAGTCATGGAGCCAAGCATAAACTCGTGACTAATTTGAATAGACTGTCCTTCTCACTACTTTTTTCTACTCACTCCAAGTAGCACCAATACAGTAACAACACAAACCTTGGCCCAGAGAATATACCAAGCAAAAAGTAATATATTCTCGAATTATAGATTAAGATATTCTTAGTGAAAAATAAGATAGTGAAAAATAGATGGGTGGCTGTCTGCATGGCTCGAATACATGAAGCCATGCAAGTAACTGCTCATCAAGGATGCAAGTAAAGAGTTGAGCCCGATCTCTAATGCGTTGAGGCAGCTGCTGGAAAATTCGGATCATATTTGAAAAGAGCTGGACGCTACGACGACTACGAGCATCTAAGAGATTCTCAAGACTATTAATGATAACGCTGGAAAAATTTCAAGAACAATCGAGACCTCGTTCGACTGACTTATTGAGAAGGTAACGGCAGCGATACTGATAGTACTGCCAAACTTGCGAAATCTTCTGATGATAGATGACTCGACTCCTCGTTGACAAGTTCCAAGCAGGAGCACAACAGTTCCCTGCCTCCATAACTGCCTGTACAAGGGTAGTTAAATGCGAGTTACTCGTCAAGCAGCGTCATGCTGAATGATTCGGAGAAGATTTAGATACCCGACATTGCTATCAGCATTACTGACAGTGCGGTGGCCAAAGCTGCTGCCGACAGTCTAGCAAACAACGCAGTCAACGGTGTTGCCAAGGATGATGCCAACAGCCGTCAGAGTGGTCGTGAAAGCTACCTTCGGAACTACCAATAGCAATATATCTTTACTCACTAACACTCGAATTGAGGAGGTAAGAGCAGAATAAGCATCGGGCACAGAGAACAAGCAGGTAAGATTAAGTAGTGCTAATGACTTATTCGAAATTTTTAATAAGACCCCCTATGAAAATTAAATAACGTGAGACAATTTAATACTGAAATCATGAGCCCGTAAAGTAACGTAAATAAATCAAAACTATAATTTATTCAAGCAAATAAAATGCAAAATTTTCGAAAAACTGTTACGTGTGGAATGAAGATCTCGAAAACTGATACACGTTTTGGACGACAAACAGAGAGAGTCAACCAACGCGATAAAGCGAAATGTTTGGGTGTTCTAATTAGTGGACTAGGAAAGGACTAACCAGCAATCCTACCACATTCTGTATTCACGTTTAATGCTAGATGAAGTTAAACTTATCAAATATATGGAAGTCGTCTTAATAAATATAAATAATAGTACGTTTTAGCGTTTGAGCAATATAAGGTTTTTCTAGGAAAAAGAAAGGTAGATTCGAATCAGTCGTGAAATAATATGAAACGCAGTGACTTGCAGAAAAATATCCTGGCAATGAAAAGGAAAATAGATTATATCACGTAGTAGAGCGAGCGATTCAGTCCGTATTCGTAAACTAAATTCGATTCATTAGTACTTAAGACTTATTTAGGAAGTAATATAAGAACCGAATTATTACTGTGGGAATCGCGAATATTGAAACTTATAGAAAGTAGAAAGGTGAGATTTATTGAGCGAGTTATATACTATTAGAAATAAAAGTACACAGACATAATTTTACTATTATTATTAAATTAGAAATAGTTTAATATGTACTGTAACGGGGTGGGTACCGTTTAAGTAATTTATTGGCGCGATCGTACTGAAGGCCGCGCGTAATTACCTACGTCAAACACGAAAATCGGAGAGCAGGAGGGAACGGGTGTCAGTCAACCAACTATCTACTACCGTGAAATAAATACGTCGGAGATCTTGTCAGTATCGCAAGCGCGGACTTTTATTACCTCTTATTATTACACTATGTTCGGCCCGCGTGTTTATGTTTACATCTCGCGCGCACGACAAAAACATGCAGTGTCGAATCGCTCGCCGCTCATAGTTCGCTGAGTTATTACATGCACGCTTTTTGTCGAATACAAGAGATTAGTTATTTAGTAATTCTATCGCGATCGCGACATTAAGCTGGCCAGCTTACCTTTTTAGCAGTCGTACAAAGAACGGAAGAACAAGTTCGCACTCTGGTTGAGGTAAAGTCTGTCTTTGCCGCGTCGAGGGAGCTCGCACTTCTCGGTTTCGCCCTCGATGGCGAAACTCCTCACTCGCACACTCTCGCACGCACTCAGCTCCGTCAGGCTATCTCCTGTCGATCCTCGTCGTTGATTCGCCTTCGCACTCCAAGGAAAACTCGGGAAAACGTCGAAAGGCTATGTGGCACGGCTCTGCGATCGGGTTCTAATCCTCGGTTTGCGGCTCTCTGTATCGGTAGCTAATCCTGCACTGGTTCATTTTCATACGCGCGCGTTCCGTCACGTCTCGTGCCGAATTTCCTCATTACATTTTCCGTCTACCGGTAGGAGCTGCCCCCGCAAGCAGCCACCAGGTTAGGCTATTAGCGCTAATACGACATTTACAGTCACAGTACAAATAACATACAAAAGAAATAAAGTAAATCCTAAATGTTTGTTCCGAATGCCATCATCTTGAAATTTAAAGCCTGCTTTTTTATATATGTTTCACATTGTAAGCGCTATAAGCTCGTCAGTTTACGTTTCGAAAAAATACCCGATTTGAATTATGAGAACGCTTAAATTTAGTTTATCAGTTATAGAACTTACTGTGTACGCTAAATAAGGCCGATTCCATCTCAAATCATACGAAGCTCCATGGGCACCCATGAGCAAACCACACCAAACTATTTTTTTGAGGGTCTATGATGAAAATAAAGCGACACGTATTTTTTTTTTGCCTTAGACGCATATTTGATTTAATATTGAATTTTGAAAATTCACTTCTAAAATTCAAAGTTAAAAAAAAATTTTGAGAGTTGGATTTCGACTTTCTACTGCTCGGTCATTATTAGTCCAAATCGAATGAAACTTTTTTCATATTGTAGCAAAATTGAAGACCTTCAAATGTACGTGATCAAAAATGTGCATAAATGCATTTTTCAGAAGATTATGCACTTTTGCATAAAAATTGCATCCTGTAAAAATACCGATTTATCTCATAAAGGCCATCTTTTTTTTGTAGATTCGTTGTACCATCGTGTTCAAACGTATACCAGTCCGGTTTCCGGTTTTTGCTTTTTTATGGAGAAAAAAAATAAAAAAAAAAATTTTTTCTTCCGTGTCGAAAATTTGAATAATCTATGTAAATGTATATTACTTTTATAAAAAAAAGGTTCAAAAATAAATAAAATAATGTTTCACATTTATTTTTTAATATATCTTGAATCTATTCCTTATTTATTTTTCTTTTTTTTGTTTTTTCGCCTGTTATTCACTTTCTTAACTTTTCCTGATAAAACTTTATTTTTCTTTTGACGTACTTGACCATATTTTCCTCTTTTAGCCGAAGTTTTCTTCACCTTGACTTTCCTTTTAGTCATTTTTACTTTTTTCTCCATCTCAATCCATTCATGTACTGCAGTTCTAGCGATAAAACACTTGCTCTTCCCATTGGATGGTTCAGACTTCCACATGTGTCATCTTTGGATACCATCGAATTTCATGGAACTATTCCTATCTTCAATTTTCTCGTTACGAAAATTTTGAAGTTCTCCAGATTCTAGGTGTATTAACTGTATTGAAGTAGTATAGCTTTGAACATATTCAACAAATTTTTCAGCACATTGAATAGCGTCAATCTCGGAAGAACGTAAATTATGTACCATTGCATAATGTTTTACTAAACCTCCTAAACCATCAACAGCACCTTTCCCATGACCAGTTGCAGAAAATATCCATTTTTTATTAATGGTTCCTTTTCGAACTCATGCAACTGAAAACGATTTTTAAAATGACTTGCAGCACCGTCCGATAATATGGTGATCGACTCCAGTACAATATTGTCTTCACTAAGTGTGCTTTCAATTATATCAATAATTTTTTTCATCGCTAATAAAGCATGACAAAAATCATGTTTTTGGTCATCGCTGACAACAACAAAACTCTTCACCATATTTCCTACATAAATAACTGCAGTAAAAATTGAAATCTGTTTGTTTACCCAGTGGTTTCCTTGAACGGGATTTTTCAAAATTACTGTCCAATTCTCAACAAAATCAATAAACATCAATAACCATCGACAGTTTTTTGATACTGCTTCTTTTTCAGATTTTATTTCTAACCTTTGTATTTCCTTAATCCTTAAGTGAGAAATAATTTTGATGGTATGCTCTGCAATCTCTTCCTTGAACGTAGCAATAGATACTGTTCTCATTTCTAGAGTACCTTTACTCCAAAATGCAAATGATATTTCACTATCTACCTCAGATTCGTCAATTTTTAATTTGTCGAATGTGATGCTATTAGCGCCAGAGCATGAAGTGCATTCTTGAAAA